TCGTCATGATGTTTTGTACCTTTTTAAAGGCGAATTATCATGCTATCGATTGTTTCTGACGATTTTTTTAAGTTAAAGTGGATTTCATGTAATCCGACGATGTAAACTATCATATAAGTAAAGTCGTCCCAGGACGGGCGCTAAAACTCTAACACTATTGGCAATATTCTATTTTAAAGTCATTCTACTTTAAAAAATTTTCATAATGTATGTTCTGACCATGGTCATTATAACTGAGTCAGCGATAAAATTAAATTATTAGGAAGAATTTTTTCACTACGTAACTATAAAAAACAAAATTTGTTTTTAATTTACTGTTTGTATTTCGAGAACGATTTCCGAATAAAATAAAAAGGGGGTGGACATTGTAAACGTTAATAAACGAGTATTTTTATCTTTAATTGTGGGCTTTGATTCCCAGTTTAAATAGTAATAAAATTTTAAAATGCTCAAAGAAGATAGGCTTTGAGATACCAATATTAAGAAATCTTTGAAGTTGGTGTACTTTGCGTATTTGGTGATTATTGTTAGAAGTTTATTGGACATGAGATATTACGACTGCCATCATACGATCGGCGATACTAAATTCTATTTGGACAAGGTCTTGGTTACACTTCAAAAAAAGAAGTCGCAGCAATTGGAAGTATCAGTTTTTGAAGTGAAATTATAATTGAAATAAGTGATTGAATGCAGTTAAAACAATGTATTCTGATTATGACACTTAAGTAGCTCAAATGGATTATGCCAGCAACCAAGAATAAACAATTTTTCGATAATGAAAGTTTAACTTTTTATTTCTTATGATAAATATTAAGTTTTAATTGTTTAAAAATTAAACTCTAACAAGCGAATATCTAAATGAGCATGAACATGAATAGGGCATTTTTACCAGCATGTTAAACCTAGTCACTTCTCAGTATGATCAACACTCTAGCTAGTAATAAACCAAAAATATTTTACCTCAGGGTTTCTTAGAAGTTCAAGGACAGGATTCCCAACATCATGCATATTAAAACGGGAGAGGACCCTAATCACATTGTGAATCCTGCAAAAATGTTGTAAATAAACATTCTTATTTTACCAAACTGTGCTATATATGTGTTAGCACTTATGTAGTTATACTCATGGTACAACAGTGGGTGAATACAAGGTATGATACTCCCGAGTACGAAATTGGGATCGAAGTGGCACTGCCGCTAGATGACGTCGATTTTTACGAATTTTTAGGTTTTAAAGAAGAAAACCATTCAAAAATAAAATTGAATTCTCTGCCATTTTCTACAAGTGGAACAATAAACCTTTTTAGAATCCAGTGAAAGCTCGTTGTATGTTAGTTAGTTTCAAGCATTTTATACGAATTTTAAAACATAAGGACCAAGCTGGAACTATCTAACATAACTAATCCTCAACCGTCTATTTTCTAAAGTTTCCAGATATTATCTACACCTTCTAAAATTTCCAACAAGACATTTTGTAGTTGCCATCATAAAGTTATTAGGACGGGATTTGTATATCGTTACATTGCTAGTGTACCACGTTACCAGGATATTTAACAGCACAATTTATTTCCCATTTAAATTACGAATAATGGGTATTTCTCCCTATTATTAAAGCGATTTTATCTATTGGAAAATACCAAGAACAATTAAATGAATTGTATCCAAATACAAGCATTACTGTAGCGTTTTTATTTCGATTTCTATAAAAATATGCAAAAAATTTTTATTTTATATATGTTATATATTGACAGTGGCATAAAACACGCAAAATATTGCTCATGTCGCATTTTTGTCTCAAAATCTAATAATCTGAGGAAACATCTATCACATTAAATTGAATCAAAGTAAAAAAGGAATGTGGTTTACGATGGAATTATCGAATACCTATAACAAACAACCATATAAAATAACGTTGTTATATGCACAAAAAAAACTTTATGGCTTTTTTACTTGGGTCTTTCAGGGAAACTGATTGCTCTTAATTTCGTTTTGAAGCATTAAATTATCACTTAAATGCTAAAAATGAGAAATAAATTTGAATGTAATGTAGTGTTTGAAAGAAATAAGATAATCCTAAGAGATTCTTTAGTTTAGTTTCTGAAGCTGACATTAAAGTAGACTGTTGAAAATTAAATCTGGACACAGTCTGACTAATAATATTTACAAAAATAATTTTTTGTGATATTACATTAGATTTAATGTACACTAGGAGCCTATTATTGTTATAAGGTAAGATTTGAAAGGATTTCTTTAAAGCGTTCAAATATTAAATAATGTTTCTTACCTTTTAGAGAATCTTTTATTTTAGTATACAATGCAAATAGAAAGAATCCTGACAAGTATCTATTTAAATTAAAATTATGAGACAAAATGCTAAAAACTCAATTATTTATCTTAAAGTAAAATTCAAAAGTAGGTAAATTTGTACTAGTATATATTGTATTAATATATATATATATAAAGTTATATATCATATTTATATTATGTTTATATATATATTATATATATATATTTATATATATATAATAGAGAAAATCATAAACAAGCCCAAAATTATCGAGACGAGTAAGAATGGGATGAGACAGCGTTCGGCCAAACTTTCGTACGTTCTAAAAAACACACAAACAACCCTCCTGTTACGTACGAAGCTAAGGGTATATAAACTCCTGTATCATACCGAGTGCTCACCTACGGAGCACAGGGACGATGGACATTTACACAGGCCAATTTTGGATAGGATTAAGGTAGGCACAAAAAGGATGGATGAGACAAAGGTTTGGGTTTGTTTCACTTAGAGATTAGAAAAACGTTAAACCAGTGGATCAGAACCAGAACAAAGACTAGTAGACGCGATTTAGAACAAGCAGTAAAAACTGAAATGGAATGGGTGGACACAATGAACGTCTCCATGACGAACGATGGAACAATGCCATCGGAAAAGTGGCGTCCATACAATGCAAAGAGATCAAGAGGCAGACCACAAATGAGGTGGAAAAGATGACATCAGGAAACAAAGAGGGTCCACATGGCAGAGAACAGCTCAGATAGGGAAAGATGGAGAGAACTGGGGGAGAACACACTATTATTACCAACAATGGGAAGGATATGAGAATGGGTTCCAAAAAAAAAATTGATACTGTGGAAGAGTTTCCTCAGGTATTTTAGTTATTAACTCTTTGGCGCTTATGTGACACACACGGGACTACCACCACCTTTTTAACAAATTTTTTAATACGCAACTGACCCAAATAATGACCCTCTCATACTCAAACTAAATTTTCTTGATACTTTGTAGTAATCAAAGAAGTATCAGTATCCATAGTATCCAAGATCGAGTCCAAAGAAGAATAGCAAAATCAACACTCCTAAGTTGAAGAGTTTGAAGAAATAAAGTGTTATTACGAGAAATAACCTTTTGATGGGGTTGGCCACTGTCTTATAGAGATGTCTTGTTATGTAAATTTTGTTTATGTTCTTTCAGGTAAGTCACGTGACAGATTTGGATGGTTGGCTTACTCTGGACAGGATACTTTGGGATGGATAAAATGACAATTTATTACAACCTAAGAATAGGTAATGGCAATTCATGATAAACTCTACAAAAAGTGCGGTTCATTGCTAGAAGAGACTTCCAATTACTTATAAAAGCTCATTTTTCCCAGCAGGCAAACAACCAATAGGACGGATCGCATATGATTAAGGTTCAGGGGACAAAGTAGTTTATTGCCAAATATAATGCCAATAAAGTCACATAAAAAGGGGATATAATAAGGAGATATATAAGGTATGGGTACGTGCTGATCAGGCAGGATATGTTTCACAATTCCAAATATATACCGTGAAGGTAAAAGATGTAAAAAAAACGGAAAACCCTAGGGGCATGAAGTAATATAAATGATGCTTATCAAGAGATTTGGTTGGAAAAAAAAAATTAATAAAGTTTTATTTACGATAACTATTTTAATTTTGTTTGCATTTCAACGAGACTTGATCAAAGACAAACAAATAAATAATCTACGCCATGTGGAAAACAACTCGAAAAAGATAGTAGAAAGGTTTTCCAAAATAAAACTTCAAAACAAATAAAAAAAATATAAAAGAGATGACTCAAAACTGGAGGAATGAATGAAGTCAAGCGTGCTAGCTTTGCAATGAATGGATAAAAAAACCCTTCTCAGTTTTCAAAAGCAACGTATCCTCCAAACCTGAAAAAAAACATTAATATTATGTAGAGAAAGAAAGAGAACGGGAGCAATTAGTAGAAATTAATTGCAATTAGTACAAGATTACAACAAATATTAATGGGCTTCGCTTGATAAGTACTGATATGATAGTTATCTTTAGCTTAGCCGAATTGAAGAAAAAATCCATAAAAAGGGCTGGGTCGGAATATATTTTTTTTACTTTGTTGACCTATTCATTCACTTTCAAACAATCATACAACTCGGTACGACAATGGTCCTTGAAAGAATATTTTAAAATTGCCTGTGGCTACCAGTTTGGATTGGGGCAGACTGTCCTTAATCCCAAAATTTGGGAAGAAGAAGTCCATCGACGGAACGTGAGCATCAGTAAACAGGTTCTCAAATAACAAGTTCCTCTAGATAATGAAGACTGACTAAAGTAGCCCCATTATGCCTCTAGCAATGGAAGCCCTAAAAGTACGTTGTATATATCCTGCAGTTACCAAATGGCAACTCCTGCGTCGATACTAAATAGCACTTATCTACATTGTTAAAGTAGGTTTATGTCTATCTGGATATATATAGTTATTTTTTATCTCCATTTAACGCTAAATAAATTTTTTCGTTTGTTGGCCTAGTGGTTCCACATGGTACCACCTTTTTTCTAGTAGTTTAAAAAATGAAATATAAAAAAACTTTGATTCGTCTATCTTTTGCCCTAATAGGTTCTAAAAAGAAATTATTCAACCATTTAATATAAACAAAAAAAAAGTCGGTCCAACAAAGGGGTTAGAGACAGCAAAGCAAATGCACTTACCAGTTTGATTAAAAATAATTTTTTCGTTGTCGTTCGGCCCGCACGTTTGCAAATACCGACCACTACACGTGTGTTCTAACAACACAAGAAATCGCTACAAGAACCGTACACTGCATCAGTTGGAGAAAACAACTAAATGTTTTATAGATATTGCTTTTAATTAGGCTACTGTGAAATATTGAGGCATCGAAGATAGCGAGACTGTTAATGAGGTCAAAAAATTTTGTAATATTTATACGAGATATATTTCCCAAAAAATGATCGATTTATGTTTACAAATCGATTGAATGAGTTATGTTTTAATGGTTATTAATTTAGCAATAATAACATCCTCTAGTGTATTGTATTAATAACGAATACTTCCGTTATCTTATATCATATAAAGTAATAGAAGAAGGGTCATTTTATTACGACCAAATGTTTTTAATAATTAAGATATATATCAAAGAAAATATTTATTGGATTGTTGAAGGTAAAGGGTACAATGGATGATAGGTCACAATCCCCTTAACATACCAGAATTTTTTTTTCTTCATTTTTTTAGGTTCTGCTGGTTCACCTTAATATCGATGTAATCTTTTATTTTGATAGGGCAATTTGGGGGTTAAATTATAATGCTGAATACTCCTTATTCCATTTGCATCTGGCTGTATGACCAAGTCTAATCAAAAAATAATATAAATAAAATACGTTCTATATGTGATTAGAAAATAAGGCTCAGCGCCATTTTTAAACCGCCTCCTTTGGCACCATACCCCACCCACAAAAACGTAATATTTTTGTTTTTATTTATTTATTTTTCTAGGTTACAATCAATCAATTGCGACAGCCAATATGGTTTTAGGCAACAGATACACCATAGATGCGGTCACAAGAATGTTACGCAGGATACAAAGAGATGGGTGGCTCTCATCTGCTTGACGTCACAGAATTGCCTTTGATACGGCATCATGGGAAAAATCATGTCCAGGCTGAGACAATTGGGCGTTAGTAAGTACCTGAAATGACAGATACTTTTATGACAGGTCCATAAGAGAAATGATTACCAGCATCTGTTTGTCTCTAGGGTATTTTGCTAGGGTCCAGTACTAGGTCCCAATCCTGTGGGAATGTGCTCTGTACGTCGGGGGGGGTGTTGAAGGCTACAAATGCCAAAGCAGTGCAGTCTTGTAGCTTATTGCTGATGATCTCGCCTACTCCTGGTTTGCGGTGGGCTGATATACGAAATCTAAAATAAACTTTTGGGGGGGGCAGCGGACAGGAGATGTCATAAGAAAACATTACGTAGGTAAAAATGGTCTTCAACATTGCTTTCCTATAAAATGTAAGAAACACGCTCAGTAAAATATCATTCCAGCATTTTTTACCAGGTGTAAAACAATATGCAAAAAAAAATGGCAAAAAACTCATCTTCGGAATGTATCAATTTACGTTGTACACCTAGTAGGACGGTGATGATCGCGCAAGTCCACTTGCTACGATTGATGAAAACCCATCAGTATGCCAGTTTCGCGGAAAACCAAATGCAAACTGACAATAAGAGCATTGTTTGGACTATTGTATCTTGGCTGGGATGTTCAAGTCTGCTCGGACTAATTTTAGAAGATCTTTGGTCTACGAATGGAACCAGAAATAAGCTTATTTAGATAGACGATGGCTTTACAACGATTTACTTTTTTTACAGTCGCTGTTACGTTTTGACAAATATAGAAAAATAGAGAAGAGAAGAAAAAACTTAAATAAAATGAGTGCAATTAGAGCAATTTTCGAAAATTCTGTGCAAAATAGCCAAGACGTTCTCTATACGCCAACGCGAAAACCCTAATTATTGATGAAAAAGCTGGAGATATTTAAAGGCCACTGTGGTTTTCGCCAGTATATGCCGGAAAAAGCCTGCACGATATGGTATTAATGGATATTCGCCTCCGTTGGTGCAAAATTATTTATGTTTTGAAATTTAGAACTATACGTGGGATTGCAAGCCAGAGGGACCTTCCAATTTGAGCATAAACCTAGTGACGTAGTTCTGCGATTGTAACTCCGATATAACTGGAACAAACGAAATGTAACATTCGTTAATTGGTTCACAAGTTTATGAGCTAATGCTGAAGCTTTTAAAAGATCATGAAACTGACGTACTACTGGAACTGTAAGGAAAAAACAAAAGGCACATACCTGAAAGTTTTGTCTATGGACAATAATATCTAGAAACAGACCAGTTTGTTCCTCAAAAATTCGGATTTCAAGAGTGTATAACGTTAGTTTCACATGTACCAAAAAAAGGAAAAGTAGTTCTTATAATGTCAAACTTTACATCACACTCTGAATATTGACGATAATACTGGCGAAAGTAAGAAAACCCGAAATATTATTTTCTTTTTAAATGTGGGGTAGATGAATTGTCGGCTTCATACGATGTTTCACGTAATAGCAAAAGTTGGCCCATTACAATTTTTTTATACGATACTCAACTGTTGCAGGTATATAATGCTAGAGTAATTTATTAACAAAATACTGGCGATTTTCAGTCAAAACGAGGCAATTTTGAAATTATTAGCAATACCGTTTACTAACAAAATAAAAACAAATTCGGTCTACCAAATTAAGGCTTCCGCGAATTTACAAGTCCATCTGAAGGAACTGTAAACAAATGATGAAGTGCTAATCAGGTGTAAACGAATGAAAGTAGCCAAAAGATGTAATGTCTGCCCGAGAAAAGAAAAAATGACAGAAATACCTTGTATTAATTGTATGATGTGTAAAAAAGCTTAGATGTTTAGAGTATTACAGTGATTAAATTGTGATTCTTGCTATTTAGTTAAAAACAATTAAAATGTATTCTGTATGTTATGGTTTTTTTCATAAATTTCATTTTATTTTTACTAGTTCTCTGATCTTTTTTTTTTTATATATCGACAAAAAATGAGTGTAACGTTTTTTTTATGCTGTAAATATGAGACTTTCTTGGAATATTCAAGTATTTAGTTTGCAATTTGTTTCTAAACACTAGTTCCTTTTGATTTAAGTTTGTTATATGGTGAAATATAAATCACAATATAAGTTTTTAAAAATGTGTTATTTTTATTTCATTTTTTTTTTATTTTTGGGTATTTGCATATACATTTTAGTCTACCACACTGGCGCCGGGTTAAGAATCTTTTAAAAAAACATAAAAATATACAGGGTGATTCATTAAACATAAGGATTATGGACTAGCCAGACGTGCGTGGATCACACCTGTACATTTAAACTTATGTTTAAAAAGTGCACAATTTATATTTAAAAGTTCAGAGTTTTTGATTATTTTCTATAATAAGGACACAAACCAATTTTATTCCATAAGTGGTTTCCACACTGTATATTATTGTTTCATCTATTGCCTATTTTACAGTCGTAATATCTTTCAACGTACTTAGAAGAATACTACGTTTTTTATTTTAAAATAAACAATAATATTTTTAGAAATTTCCCTTTAAAATTGTGGAAAAAAGTATTTACTTAAGCGGAATGATATGTGAGAAGTAATTTTCAAAGTAACGCTCTCGTCTTTCCTCTTTCCCCGTTCCGCGTACTTAACCGGTTAATCAAAACTATAACAAACTTTGATGAATAATGAGGGTTGGCGAAGGTTACCAAATTACTAGCGAGGGTTTCATTAAATTTGAATATTTTGGTTCAAGTTAGAGTTAGAGTTATAACAGGAGGCAGAGATGTGACGGATGGATGCATGCCATCAAAAATTCTCGCGAATTTCATTAGCAATTTCATGCTTGTTTCGTATCTAAACGTCACCTCTCGGGACCACGGTATTGTTGGACATAAACCACCAAAAATTTTATATAAATTCAATGGCGTAGACATAAAAATTAATTCCGAGGTAAAATAAGACTGAAAGAACCACATTATTTATTTATTATTATTTATTATTATTTACGCAAAGCCAATTATATTAATCCTACACTGCATACTTTTTTATTTTGCTTGATTACTATTTAACTGGGAATAAGCCACAATTAGAAACAAACCGGACGGATCAAATGTTGACGACCTTGGCATCACCGAAAACACGGACACGATTTGGTTGCTGGAATGTTAAAACTCTGTATGAGATTTCTAAACTAGCTCAAGCAGTAAAAGAATTAACAGGTATAATTAGCTTGTTGGTCTATCGGAATGTAAGATGGTTGGGAAATGGTGAACACCATACCCAAACAGGAGAACTCCTATTATACAGTGGTAAAGAAAATGAAAATCACGAGATGCGGAGTGGGTCTTCTACTCAGCAAACAAGCCAAAAAAAGCCTCATTTCATGGAAATCAATCCATGATAGAATTATGATTGCCAGATTTTATATCAGATACCGCAAGATAAACAGTGATTCAGTGCTATGCTCCACGAAACACATCTCTCTCGAAGTATAAGATTATTCTACGAAAACTAGAACAAGTAAACCAAGGTGATATACTAATAGTGATGGGGATATGAACGCTAAAGTTGGAGAAGACAATATTAACTTAGAAACCGTAATGGGCAAACATGGCTGGGAGTGGATGAATGAAATACGGAGAGCGCTTTACAAATTTTTGCTCCAATCATAGCTTAGTTATTGGTGGAACCATCTTCCCACATAAAAATATTCACAAGGTTACATGGACTGCACCAGGTCATATTAGAGAAAATAAATTAGAACCACATCGCCATATCAAATAATATGGAGATCATCTCTCCTTGATGTACGTAACAAAAGAGGAGCAGACAGCGCAAGTGACCATCATTCTTGTAATCGGTACCATTTAAAATCAAAATTGGCAAAAAACAAAATCACACGAAACACCAAAACGACCAACATTACAATCTAGACAAATTAAAAACGGCTACAGGAAGACACATGTTTAGGGAGGAACTTCAATCAAAAGAGAGAACGTAGAGTAAATAGGCTGGGAAGATCTGGCAAATATGTTTGACAGAAATATCTGAAGATAAAACTGGGTAAAAAAAGAGAAACATAAAAAAAGATATGGATATCAGATGAAACTTGGAATCTTTATCGAAGAAAGAAAACAGCAAAAAAAGATATTTTGCAAGCAAGAACTGTAGAAGAAAGAGCGAACCGACAA